AATATCATCCCCAGGACACTCCTGCTTTCCCTCACTTCTCTCCAGAGGAGCCCTGGTGATGCTGGGTTATGCATTGTGCAGTGATCCGCATGGTCGGCAGTTTGAAACCAGCTGCCGCTCATCAGGAGAAAGACAGGGCTTTCTACTCCCATAAACAGTTATGCTCTCAGAAACCCACAGGGGTCGCTACGAGTCAGCATCGACGCCATGGCAGTGAGTTTAGTTTAGTTTTCTTTCCTTAGGTTGGCTTCCTTTTCCTGGGCTGTTGGCCCACAAAGTCAGAGGTCACAGGGAGCTTTGGGAAGATGAAAATTTAGTCTCATCAAGATGATACCCTAGAAAACCCTATGAGGTCCTTTTACTCTGTCCCACGGGGTCACTGAGCCACAAAGTCCACTTTCAGGTACTAAGTGAAGTCCTTCAGGCACTAACACATTGCACTTGGGTGCTAATCTAGAGGTTGGGATTTGAAGCCATCCAGTGGCACTGCAGAGAAAAGGCCTGGCCACCCACTTTCCTAAGGATTGTTGTCAAGTCAACCTCTTCCAACCCCTGGCCACCCATGTGGGCAGTGCAGAACTGCCCCACAGGGTCTGCACTGCTGAGACCTGTTAGCAGATTGTCGGGTATATCCGAGGAGCCTGTGGATGGGTTTGAACCACCAACATTTCAGGGAGTAGACCATTGGCACCCCCCAGGGATTCCCCATAAGGAGTGTGGTAGTTGCACAATTCCATGTCAACTTGACAAGTCAGAATGAAGGGGTGGAGTCTAGCTTGTCAATCAGGTGATGATCCCTCCTTGTGGGCATGGCCTTCACATGAGGATTCTGGGACTTCACCTCTTCCTCCCTGGAGGCGGAACACACACTTTCTCTTGCTTCATATTCCGGGTCGTTAAGCCAGATGGAGCCATGCTAATGGCAGCCAGAGCCCTGGAGATGCCTCCACTGCCATTGGGTCCACAGGACTTTACACCCACCAGCCTGTGATCTTCTTGCATTTAGCATCATTGCATGTGTCCTGTGAGTCTGAAGACAAATTCATGGGCTCATGTAGGACTTATGGGCTAAGATCAAACTTATGGACTTTATCTGGACTGGGCTGGGATGTTTTATTGATGCATAATTACTTATTGGTATAAAGTTCTCTCACATATATATATGAGTTTCTCTGGGTTTGTTTCTCTAGTCAACCTGGACTAATGTAAAGAACACAGGCAAGAAAATGAGTAGGAATTAACTTGTGGCAATGGGTTTGTTTTTTTTAAATAATTTCTTTTTTTAAATCGTTTTATTAGGGGCTCATACAACTCATCACAATCCATACAAACATCAATTGTGTAAAGCACATTTGTACATTCATTGCCCTCATCATTCTCAAAACATTTGCTCTCCACCTAAGCCCCTGGCATTAGGT